TAGCCAGAAGCAATTCACTTTGAGCTCCACCCGTAACTTGGCCAGTTTAGGATTTTTTTTTTTCCCCTTAACCAAGTTGATTTCCTAACCTTTTTCAACCTCTTCTGTGCAGCTCTCAAAGGGCAGGAGCCTAAGTTCTGATAAGTGCCTTAGAACAGGATATGGGGTAACGGACAGGGCCCTTCCGGTTTAAATGAGCAAGAACCCGATTCCCATCTGCCCAATGAAACGGAAGACCCAGGGAGGGGTTGGTCAGTCGGACTGCTTAGCTTAGTGGAAACCCATCCAAGCCAGCAAAATGTCAATGAAGCTGGGGATTTTTGTTTTGCGCTTGCCATCAGCATGGAAGAGTCTGTGGGACTCTGTCCCTTATGTGGATGGGCTGACGTCTGTTGCTTTGTGGGAGGGGAGCATGTTGGCTGGGGTGTGGAGCAGAATCCAAAGCCCCGCTTAGCACAAGGCCCGCCTTCCCAGGAAAGCTATTTTCAGAACTCATTCACCAGTATTGTTTGTGATCTGAAATGACTCCCACAGTGTTTGAAGCTAGATGGAAAAGCCCTTTGATCTGCCTAAATAAATAATAAGGAGCCCAAAGAGGGATTTTTTTTTTCTTCCCATACTGATTAAGCCACCAGAGAAATTTAGCTGCATATATTTTACAGGAAGGTACTTGTAGTTTCTCTTTCCTCCTACGTTATCTGCGGAGCTCTCTCCCTATCCCCAGAAGCAGTAGAGCTCATGCTGATCCCCCTTTCTTGAGCAGAATTTTAATACACAGGTTAGCTCTATAGTTTTGTTTTGTTTTTTTTCTTCCCCTCTATGGCAGAGGAACAGGGTACTTGATATGCTCGGTGAATAATCAAACCTAAAACGGTCCTCATCGGAAGATGCTCTGTGTGAAGTTTGGGTCTGCATTAGACAAATTCTGGCAATAAAATTTCTTCAGGGCCTGGGGTGAGGGAGTGGCACCTGTTGACAAATTACTGGCAAGGGGAGGTAGTTGAACCGCTTTCCAGAAATGGACTGCTTTTAGGTGGTGACACATTTTTCCTCTTTTATTTCCTTGAACCAACTTGCTAGACAGTTTGTGAGTACCTTTCCAAGTAACTGCTGCTAGCAACCAATTAGATGACAAAATTCTTAGTTCTTAATCCATAAATTACAGATCAAGAATGAACAGCAAGGTCTTTGAACAAATTGCTGTTCAGAAAACCTTCGTTTGCTTTTAGAGGTGCAGTGAAAGGCTAGAGATTGGCTGTTCAAATTAACAAAATGTTATAAACAATTTTTTTTATTACTTCATCTTCCCTGTGCCCTCCTCCCCACTTGAAAAATAAATATCCCGAATGCCCACAACTCCAGATGGGAAACAAGGCCAAGCCATCTGAAGAATTAAAAAATTTCTGAATCTTTGTCTTTCTAAGTGCTGAGCCTTTTCTGCATCTGGGGTTTACACATTTATCAAGTGCTTTTTGAAAATGAAAACCTTTCTGTTTGTGAAGCAGCCACCTCCTTTCAATTGTTGAAATCATGCCCAGATCTGAGGTTTCTTGAAATCCTTGTTTAGTGGAATCTAAGGGTGACCTAACGCTGTAGTTCAGAGCAGAGCTGGTTGTGCAAGAGAAACAATCGAGAATCTGCAGGCCCCTCCAGGATTCACAGATCCACCGTCACAGAGCCTGGGAAAGGCAGTTTCTGTGGGGAGAATAAATTGGGTTCCAGGCTGTTGGTGGCACCTGCTCTGGTGAGAGTGTGCATGTGTGGGTTTGCACACGTGTGGGCCAGGAGTGTGTGGTGTGTGGGTGTGTGGGGAGGAGGTGTGTGTGTGTGTGTGTGTATGTGACTGAGGAGGGCGGGGGCTCCCAGTGAGGTGGCAGAGTGGAAGGTGCTGTGTCAGCTCCATGGACAGGCTTTTGCTTTCCCTTTGTGTCATCACAAGCCGTCTTCAGGAAGGAGTCCCCCCCCCCCACCGCACCCCGGCTTTGGGGAAGGATGCTGATTTTGGTCATTGGTCTCTGCCCTGTGTGTATGCCTCGTCCTCCCCTTTTCCACCGAGCCCCAGGGGCCCAAGTTGTCTTGGGAGGGAGCTGGATGAAGGGAGGGAAGGGGTAGGGAGGCAGGTCAGGGCTTCCACGGGATCATGTGATTCTATTGTCTGCCGGCAACTTGTTGTTCCTGGTTAATATGTCAGCGGGAAGCCATTCACACTGCTGTGCCTTAGAAGCACTTGGGGAGTGTGCCACTGGCCCAGCTGCCACCTGTATTATTACAGTCCTTACTATTACTCTTGTTATTTCATCCTCAATGTACTTTTGCTTCCTCTGACATCCCCCCCCCTCCCCCAGCCTCTTCCCCATACCTGTCTTGCCTCAGTCCCCTTCTCTCAGGGGGAACTTCACCGGAGTGTTAATACAGTCCTGCTTTTTTTTTGTGGTGGGTGGATGCTGGAGCCCAGATGGAGTTCGTTGGCTGGAGGGCTTTCTCTCCTTTTGTGACTGCCCAAGCCTTGCTTCATGTTTGCAAACCTGCCAGGGACGGACTGCCTTGGTTTTCCCAACATCATGGTGCACTGAAATCTGCTTCCTTTTCCAGCCTGGGGAGCCCGAGAGGGGCAGCCACCTTGTCTCCGTTATTTCTAAGTAGAGCTCAGAGTCAAGGCCAGAGCTATTGCTGTCCTGGGCTTATCTGGCTCCAGAGACCTCTTTCTGGAGACCTTGTGGTCTCCTCCTTCCCGAGGCCCCTGGGAGGCCATGTACTGTCCAGGGCTTGGAGGGGCCTTTCAGCCTCCAGGCAGGAGGGAGGCCAGTGGCTGGTCTGTTTGAGAGAGAGGCCTGGACTGCTGATGGGGCCCAGAGGAGCTGGGGGGAGGAAGCCCACTTCAGAACTGGGCATTCAGTCTTTAAAAGAGAAAGCCTCCCAGGCCCGGGGTTTCCAAATCCTGGCAACAAGGATGAAGATTAATTTGGTCACTTTTCCCTTAAATTACGAGAGCTGGATTGGAGAACATGAAATTTAAGCCCCTCTCTTCTGCCCAGGAGATCCAAAAGCCCTAACAAATCCCAGTACATAATATTTTAACTCTAGGGATATATAAAAATTATAATAGCTCTTACTCAAAGAGGAGGGAGCGCACAGAGCCCATTTTACCCCTAAGGACCCCGAAGATCCACGGTGCAGAAAATGGGGAAAGACTCTTCCCCAAATAAATTTATAAATAGCTCCCAGGCTTTTGATTGGACGAGTGTTTTGAGCATTTCCAAAGAAAGATAATATACGGTAGCAACTTTCCAGGTATAATAATGGGAACCGTGTAAATTCTTCTGTCCGCCAATAGGTCGCATTCCCTCTTCAGTATTCAGCAATTACTGATAGCGCCGTATGTATGGAATTGGAAGAACGTCAGTACAACAGAGGCATCGATGGGGCTGAGATACAGAACCCAGGGCTTGAGCAGGTTTGAGGGCTCTGGCAAGCATCTGGGTTATTGGGTATCCGTTAGCAAGTGTTTGGAATGACTTTGCAGCCATAAAAAAGCCCTTACAGCGAGGATCTCTTGTAGGGATAGATACGTGAACAATAATGATAACTGAAATGTATGTGGGAGGGATGTGCTTTAGGATCTGGAATGCCAGTTAAAAGTTAATTGCTCCTAGTGATTTGTCCCAGTTCCACCATGAATTTTATGCAATTTAGTGCAAAGATTAAATGGATATCCCATAAGTAAAATCCCTAACAGGGTCAACCTATCTCACTGGGAGGTAGATAAGAGACTCTTTGTAATTCCTGTCGAGCTCAAAAATGAGAAGAGCCCCGTCTTTTTGTAATTCATTTGTGACCTCAGGAACAAAACAGGCTCATGCAGATTAAGTACCATGAGCAAGGTTACGCAGCCAGTCGGCAGCAGAAAAGGTCTCCAGATTCTGTTGGGATCCAAATCCCATGCTCTTAGCCATCTGTCTTCCCTGAATGGGGAAATATCAACTGTAGGACAAGCATCCACAGGATGTGGGAGTATATGAGGTTAGTTGGGCATGGGCCGGGGGATGAACAAGCTTTTCGTCTTCAGTGTATTCTTGCTGGTAGTGCAGATGGTGGAAGTGATCCATTTACATACTGTCCTTATTTCCCTTAATGGCTAACAGTCCGGTAGTAGGTACAAAAATGGGAGAGCCACATTAAACCATGTACGGAAGTTCTCTTTGTGGAACTTTCTATAAGAAATCGATCTGGGATCATTGTGTGGAAGTCAATGTATTATGGTAGTGGAAGGAGCAGAAAAAGGGAATTTGGACAGAGGGGTTCTACCCTGGCACTACCAATAAGTCGTTCTGTGACATCTGACAGATTGCTTCCTTTTTCTTGGACTTCAGTTTCCCCGTCTGTCCAGTGACAGAGTGGATTAAATTATTTCTTGAAGGCTTTTCCATTCCTTACATTTTGTGATTCAGTTCATCAAAAGTAGTATGGCAGTGTTGCCTGTCATCCCCTCCAAACCTTGGTATCATCGCTGCTAATGGGCCTCACTCAGTTATTAACTATAATCAACAATAATGATTTGGTGTCTCTAGCATAATAAGGATCTACACATCCTTCAGTAATGTTTTGTGAATATAGGAATTAAGAAAGAGAGCTGCCAATAGCGAGAAGAGGACTGATTTTGACTACGGTTTGCCATTTCCTTGTGGGCAAGTGGAACACATTTTCTGAATTTGACTCTTTACATGTGCTGACCACATAGAGAATGTCAGAGAAGGTTTCGTTTAAAATAATGACATGAAAATTACCTTCTTGGAAGACTCACTTAAAATGCTTACATTTGAGCAACAAAAGCACAGGTGCACGTCACTTAGATTTTCACCAAGTGACCCTGGAGGTCACGTGGTTCCGTCCTCCATGGGATCACACCTCCGTCAAGCACTCACAGGTCAGGCCTGGAAAGGGCTGTGGAGCTCTGTGCGGAGATTTCTGAGTCTAACCCTGCCTGCTGCTCAGTTTGCGGGTCTCCTTGAGGGAGGGGGCACCGGAAGCCCCCGCATCTCACTTCCTCGCACCCTGGTGCCCCAGTGCCGTGGGAGAAAGCTTAACCTGAGCGTGTAAACCATGTTTTCCAGGCCGGCGCAGGACATCTCATTGCCACTGTCGGCCCGGAGCTCACGGCCTCACAGCCCTACTTCTTCCCTCACGTCTGGGGGTTCCTTGTCCTTGCTGCAGTCGCCGCCAGCCACGAGGTTGTCTCCTGCCCAACACCCCTTGGTGCCAAGCCAAGGAGACCACTCAGCTCACCTGCCTAGGCCACAGCAGCATTTCCTCCCGACCCCGGCTCACCAGAGCGATCATTACCGGCCGCCCCAGCCCGGCCTGAGCCCGCCGCAGCCGCACCACCACCACCACCACCAGCAGCCCCAGCCCGGTGAAGCCTATCCAGCTATGCCCCGGGCTCAGCAGTCCTCCGCTTCCTATCAGCCAATGCCAGCGGACCCGTTTGCCATTGTTTCCAGAGCCCAGCAGATGGTTGAGATCCTGTCGGATGAGAACCGGAACTTGCGGCAGGAACTGGAAGGATGCTACGAGAAGGTGGCGAGACTGCAGAAGGTGAGGCCTCCGTTTCAGGGTAGCCCAGTCTTCCTTCGATCTCCTCATGTGTTAGGCGCAGGCCTTCTAGATTCTCGTAGCCAAAGGTTAGATATGGACCCAACTTTGCAAAAAGCCCTCTGCCTGTCTTTCTAGGAGGTGTCGCATTTTACACTTAGGTGGGGAGAAAAGAACATATTCGTAGTTTTCCCAGCTACCGTAGCCCTAATGAAAACTGAGTGGATTGTTTTCGAATTCTGGAGGGCCGAGAAACTTCCTCAGAAGGTCAAGAACACTGGCGATGCCTGTACAGGTGAAGGTCCTGCCAGCCTAAAGACCTTGTGTCTTGATTATATTTTCCCAAATAACTGGATTTGGATCTTAAATGTAAACCCATAACTCCCACAAACATCTCATCACTGAAGTTAGATCATGCCCTGCCTCGTTCTGGAAGGGGCTTAGAACACTTTTCCAAGTGGGAGTTCTCACAGGAACTCTTTTTCAACACCTCATCCTTTGCCTCCTCTTTGCTTTGGCTTTTCCCTGCAGCTCACATTCAACATCTGCGGGCTTTCTCTGGTGTGTGTGTGGTGGGGGGGGGTGGGCAGGAGGGGCTTAGCACCACAGCTGGATGACAGGTGACAGCCCTAGGCTGAGGAAGTAGAAAAAGCAGTGTATGTCCCATAGAGTTCACATTCTTCCCTGGGCCCCTCCTGTCTCCTCCAGCTGGGACTTTAGCTCTCGAGTGCCCTAAGCTAAGAACCTTAGCTCTTGGCTTCCAGTGGCTGTCGGTGAATAGGGTGATACCTTTGGCAGCTTCTTTGCAGCTTTTGTCATTGTGGAGCTCATGTGGTTTGATCTCCCGACAATGTGAACTGTTCAGGGAGGTGAGGGTGAAGGTGTGGGAGGGAGGGGACATTGCCTGGTTTTGTTCAGCAACTCTGTCCTTAGGAGACACTCAGGAGTGGAAATTTCAGGGGCCTGAATGAAACTGAGAATTTGTAAACACCAGATCTGGGTCCTAAAGTAGAGGAGGGCTTACTGTCAGCCGAGTATTTTTATGTAACAGAAACACCCCCCTCACAGGGTCCCAAAATCTGGGTGGGGTTTGTTGGGGTTCAGTGAGAACTGTTTCTCCCTGGCTTTGCCCCCAATTTTCCACTTTCTGCCTCCTCTCATTTAACTGTACGCCAACCCCCACCCCCCCAGATCATATCGGTGCAACAAATTAATCCTATTCACGCACTAAAAGCAGACTGGCCCAGTTTGGCTGATTGGGTCTAACTGTTGACACCCCTCCCCAAACTCTCTATTCAGGGTGGCCCCGGCCCCACCTTTGATGCAGTGATCGGGAAGGTGGGTGACAGGGAAGAGGAGCCGAACAGGATTTGTGGCATTGTTGTTTGCTTGTTCCCCCGCGAGGGGCAAGATGCCTCAACCACGTGTAATTGAGTGCTGGGGGAAGTGAAGGCTGACCCGATGCTGCCGTGGATTAGAGGCCTAAGTGAGGTAGGAAAGGAAAAGGAAAGTGGGAAGAGTATGGTAGGTATCAGCTGGTGCTAGAAAAAAATACAGAGGCCTGAGGCTCATGAGGGGAATGAGACAGAAACCCACCGCCACCTCCCTCTTCCTTGCCCCCACCATCCCCGACCAAACCAGTGGGTCTGCCCTTCTGTGACTTCTTTTCCTGGAAGGTCCTGTTGACGGATGTAAAGCTCGCCCATTTGGAGTATCTACGTGGGGCAGGGCGGCGGGGGGGGGAGATTGGTACCAGATCTCGAAATAGTACTCTGAACAACGTGAGTAAACGGCCTGCCTTCCAGGTATGGCCTTCTGTGGGGAACTGGAAAGCCTTGCCTTCTAAAGGCTGCCCAGTGCAGACTAAGACCAAACCTGCTCTTTCAAATGGAAATGTTTGTTTTCTGTACCCCGCACTTGAATTTCATGCAAAAGCTTGATCAGGCCCAGGCCTTGCAGATCTTGTCTCTAAATGCCATTCACCACCAGTTTTCACCTTCTGTGCTGCTATCTTGGTGCCATCTGCAAGGAGAAAAACATTCTGGAGCCTGCTCTTTTCTGTGGTGTAAGCCTCATTTGTTTGCAGGCAGTCCTGCCTCGGGCATAATTTTGGAGCTGGGGCAAGTGGAATCTGAGTTGTTTGGTAACCGCACCTTTCCCCCAGTATCCCACTGGGGGCCTGATATTTCTCCCCATAAAATAACCCTGAGCTTTGTTAAAGAGGATAGTGGGAAACTGAGAAGGAATGCAAAATGGGGTTGCAGGAGTCAAATTTAATTTGCAAATTGCCTCATAGGCCACGGGGTTTATTTATCTTATACAAATTATATGCAAATATCTCTGTGGTTATTTCATGTGCAATGAAGCTCTACTGGTTACAGAAAGACTCTGGAGTCTAATTTCTTAGTTTCTTCCCGATTTGCGCTGATTTGAGGCAAGACCCTTTCTCTTTGAGGTTTTGTGTGTATGGTTTCTTTTTTTCCCCCATTTTACAAGATTTGCAGTGGTGTCATAAAACATAACTCCGATCATGAATTTCTGTTCAAAAATCTGTACTGGTTTCCCACTGACTACGGGATAAAGTCCAAATACCTGGCATTAAAGCCCTTTTATGATCTGACTCCAGTCTATCTTTACAGCCAGATCTCACCAGCTTCCCTCCGTGTACCCCACAGTGTCCAGCCAAATGAGACTACTGGTCATTCTGGGAATGCATTCACTCACTCAGAATAGAACACCCTTCCCCTCACCTCTGCTCATTGAAATCTGACCTAGCTTTTAGGATCTGACTGGAAATGCCACCGCCTGCCCGAAATTGGTCTCCTCTCCCTTCACCCCCAACCAGGAATAATCTTTTCCAACCCCTGCACTTTTGTAGCACTTACTTCTACCGCTCTGAGTAAGGCATCCTTCTCTTTATTCTTTTATTTGATTACATTGAAAGCTCCTTGAAGGGAAATAATGTCCTCATTCATACCTACACACCCCACGGGTATTTTATTTTTTACTTTTATTTTCCTTTTTTTTCCTGATTATCTTTTTTTTAAATTTTTTTATGAACATATAATGTATTATCTGTTTCGGGGGTACAGGTCTGTGATTCATCAGTCTTACACAGTTCACAGCACTCACGACAGTACTTACCCTCCCCAATGTCCATCACCCAGCCACCACATCCCTCCCACCCCTCTACTCCAGCAACCCTCAGTTTGTTTCCTGAGATTAAGTCTCTTATGGTTTGTTTCCCTCTCTGGTTTCGTCTTGTTTCATTTTTCCCTCCCTTCCTCTATGATCCTCTGTCTTATTTCTCTAATTCCTCATATCAGTGAGATCGTAGGATACTTGTCTTTCTCTGATTGACTTATTTCGCTTAGCATAATACCTTCTAGTTCCATCCACATCCGTGCAAATGGCAAGATTTCATTTTTTGATGACTGCATAATATTCCATCGTACATATATCTACCACATCTTCCTTATCCATTCATCTGTTGATGGACATCTAGGTTCTTTCCATAGTTTGGCTATTGTGAACATTTTAAAGAGCTCTGTAACTATTTGGCCCATGGTGAAGGTTTGTTAGAGTGAACTGAACTACTGCATAAGGGCTGAGGCTTAAGAGTTTTTAGGATTCGACTCTGCCACCGACTTGATCTCAGAAAGGTCAATTTCACTTTTCCCTCTGCTACAACGGGGGAGAGGTGTCCTTGTAAAGGTGGATAGCAGGGCAAGTAGAAATAAACATGCGAAAGCCCTTTGGACACTCGGAAATAATGTTATCTACATACTATATACAGTGTCAGTAGTATTTTCAAAATTAAGGAAATTCTTTTTTTAAAAAAAAATTTTATTTATCCATTTGACAGAGAGAGACACAGCAAGAGAGGGAACACAAGCAGGGGAGTGGGAGACGGAGAAGCAGGCCTCCCGCAGAGCAGGGAACCCGATGCAGGGCTCGATCCCAGGACTCTAGGATCATGACCTGAGCCGAAGGCAGATGCCCAATGACTGAGCCACCCAGGCGCGCCAAAATTAAGAAAATTCTTACGCAGAAATGAAAATCATTTATAACTATACTTATGAAATTTATTCTCTCCTATCATCTTCTCTGAAGGCAGAAACTGTATTTGTTTTTAACGTGGGGGAATCTCATGACCCTGTGAATTAGTTGCTGAGCTGAATGTTGACTTTAGAAATCCTTCTGGGGGGCATCTGGGGTGGCTCAGTCGGTTAAGCGTCCAACTCTTGGTTTCGGCTCAGGTCGTGATCTCAGGGTTCTGGGATTGAGCCCCATGTAGGGCTCTGTGCTCAGTGCAGAGTCTCCTTGAGATTTATTCTCCCTCTCCCTCTGCCCCTCCCCCAACCCTGCCCATGCACTACAGATCTCTCTCTCTCAAATAAATGAATCTTTTTTTTTTTTTTTTTAAGAAATCCTTCTGGGAAACTTTTCTTATCTGACTGTGTTATGCTGGCCTCCTAGCCATCTAAAGCCCTGGGAGAAGCTGTCATTAAGGATTTGCATATATGCTTTCAGACCATCTATCCCATTAAGCTCCTACCATCCCCACTATCTTTCCTTTTTTTTCAGGTGGAGACAGAAATCCAGCGTGTCTCGGAGGCATACGAGAACCTTGTAAAATCATCCTCCAAAAGAGAGGCCCTGGAGAAAGCCATGAGAAACAAGCTTGAGGGTGAAATTCGAAGGATGCATGACTTCAACAGGGATCTGAGAGGTGAGAGAGTCACTTCTGAAGCATCGGCCAAGATGGCGAAGGGAAGGGCTGAGGAGTATACATTGAGGCTCTCAGGGCTTGTCCAGCCCACTGGTATGGCCAGTAAGTTGCAGGGCATAGACCGAGCTAGGTTTTGGCGACTGCAGCAGAACTTAGTCCCAAGCTTGCTGAACCAGAGTGGGATGAGCTGAGGTGTTAATCAGACAGTATCCCCCCCGGGACTCCTGGACCCGCCTGGCCTGCCCCACAATCCATGCTGCCTTTCTCCTTGAGAGGTTTTGCAGAGGTCTGTCTGTCTTTGGGCTGTGCAAGCTTGAAATAGTGATGTCCTCCATTGTTTCTGGGACTCCCTCCTTTTATTTTTACCTTAACACGGTAATACTGAAGATGGGGAGAAATGACCACCTTCAAAACTGATGACCTTGGGGATATTATTTTCTGTCTTTGGACTTAGATTGTCTTACTGATAAAATGAGACAACTGAACTAGACACTGCCCATGGTCCCCTTCTAGCTTTGATGTTACATGATTTTAAAGACTTCATAATAACTTTGATGCTCTTTTTCCTGGCAAATGAAAGATGTCATATATTCAGGGATAGATTCCTTCATCGGAATTAAGAATTCGGCACTTCGGTTTTGTCAGGGAGGGATGAAAGTGTTAAGTGCTCACCTCCTCCTTCCCAACCATGGTTTAGTGTTGTTTGGGGCTCCACATTTGTAAATCTATGTCTGTGTCACCTATTCCTGGGTAACAAGAAGAAGCAGGCTTGTTTTGCCCAAGATCAGTATTTAGAGGGCACACACCATGTGCTTGGAAGTTTGTGTATGAGGCCCTGTTGATTGTCTCTGAATTCCACAGAGCGTCTAGAGACTGCCAACAAGCAGCTTGCGGAGAAGGAATATGAGGGATCAGAAGATACCAGAAAAACCATCTCTCAGCTCTTTGCAAAAAGTAAGTTTGAAAGCTGTGGCAGCAGGTATTAATGTGTGATTGGGAGCCAGATGTGTAAAAAGGTCACGCAGTTCTGCATCTCCTTCTAGAACAGCCGGGACAGAACGAATGCCATCTAGGGATTCTTTTTCCTGTTCAAGCATAAAGTTGGGATTCTTGTTCTTTTTTCCTTCGAGGCCAAGAAGGCTGCTTGCCACATTTAGCCACATCAACATGACTCCTTCTGTATTAGACCAGAGAAGCCCCTTGAAATCCCTGCTTTTGTCACAGCTAGCTGAAAAGGACCTTAGTGAACATGGGGTCTCTGCATGTTGGAGGGATTTATTGTTGAAGGCTCCCTGGGCTGGCTGTGGTAGAGACAGGATTAACATGCGTGATCGATGATGAGCGTTTGGAATACCTAATCGGCACCTGCGGCTCCCTTAGTTAAACACCCTGTATTACATCATATCGTTCCATATTGGCCGAGGGCAAAGGGAGCTGGAGGAGAACCACTGCCGTGGCCTGAGCTACTGACTCTGGTCACAGAGTTGGAGGATGTGGGGGAGGGCAGAAGTACATCTTCCTCATAATAGTGTTTCCTTTGTCTGGAAATACTCCGAGGACCGTGACAATGAACTAATCCTCTTCTTTATCGGTCCCTAATAGACTCCACCCAGCTAGACAATGCCTCATTCTTTCCAATTGCCACAATAAAACCAGCAATAAAAACTCTGCAGTGGGTTGAGCCCATAGGGGGAAACAGACGAACTACCCTCCCTCTGCAGATGCCCGTGATTGGTGCTGCCTACCCCCTGCCCCCCTCCCTGTGGCTCCCAGCTGGAGTAGTGCACGGTGGGGACTTGTCAGGCCCCATCTTCGCGGGGCCTCCACATGCCTCTTTCAAGTCATTCCACGCAGCTTCCAGTCAGCTTTTACAAGTTTGTTTGATCTTCACTTACAATATCCCCCTCCCTCCCTGGGTTGCTCTGTTGTGCACTGGCCTTAGAAGTGGGGCTTTTTTTCTTCCTCATTTCCCTGAGCCTCCTGTTCCTTTGTCAGTCTGTCTGTCTCAGAGGGAAGAATGCAGTTTTTCCAGTGTCCTCAGTACCTGGTGTAAATTGTTGCTCTTGGGGTGTCACGGTGACCCTGGAAGCTGGTTCCCTGGTGGAGAAGGTGGTGGCCCCCCAGGACAAAACAAAACAAAAGAGAAAATGTATGGAGTCTTGCCCCGGATCTGCTAGTTCATCCTCCTTCCTCCCTGTGTGGCGACAGTATTTCAGGGGTCCTGGGAGCTCGGCTACTGGTTTATAAAATGTGGGAACTTAATAGATAAAAAGTGTATTAACGGCAGGGGCAAAGGCTGCCGCATGGTTCTAGAAGGGAAAAAATGGACTTGAAAAGCCTCCCTGGGGAATGTGTTCCACTTACCCTCGAGAGGCCAAACCAACACAACCCTAGGAGAAGGCAGTCTGGTTAGAAAGAGTTTAGAACAGCCTGGCCTTCAGTATGGGCTCCGCTGTGTACTCATTTACTAATTGGGAGACCTCGCACAAGTTACTCAGGCCCTCTGGGTCTCTGTCTTTTCATATACAGAATGGAGAAGAGAATAACACTTTTCCTTGCAGGGGAGTCCTTCTGAGGACTAAGTTAGCACAATACTTGGTAGGCATTTAGTATTCGACAACTGCTCATTTCTTTCCAAGGTTCAGCTGAATAGATAAGTAACACCAGAGTGGGAAGGAAGGCGAGGCTGCCCTATTAAAGTTTCTCTTACAAACTTAAGTATCATGGTCTCCAGAGGAAGGGCACTCTACCTCCAAATGAGAATCAAAACTGCTCCTTTGAGTTTCTGGCATGAGGCCTGTCCTAGGTAAAAGGGGAGGATCCTAGAAAGGCCGAGGGGATGATTACACGTGTCTTGTTCTTCTGTACCTACAATGCAATCCTGGACTTATTTCAGTTGGAAAATAATGTTAGTAAAGAGTGGGATTTGGAGTTTTATACATTCTGTGAAATACCATTTTTAGATTGATTTAATATACTGTCACAAGATAATAGGGAACACTCTGGGGGACTCAGTGGCTCATTGCGAATACAAAACCACTTGAAGAAATAAAATTGAAGAGACAAGCCTGCCTGTTCTTCTGATGTGTGTGTATTCTTTGCATCATACTTTTCATCACACTCTTGACATCTACTTTCACGTTGCTTCTGCACAACAACCATTGTTAAGTGACTTTTCTGAATTTACATAGCAAGTTGGTGGCAGAGCCAGCGAGAGAGTCCAGATCTTGGGTGTGCTGGTTCTTTAGGCTGTGTGTTAGACAATGTTTAATAATGGGTATGATTGTCAGTTTTACCCAGGTAAGGTTTTGAGCCAGCCCCAGAATGGCAGTCATGATAATTCATGTCTTGATAGATAAGGAAAGCCAGAGGGAGAAGGAGAAGCTGGAGGCCGAGCTGGCCACTGCCCGTTCTACCAATGAGGACCAACGGCGACACATCGAAATCCGAGACCAGGCCCTGAGCAACGCCCAGGCCAAGGTGGTCAAGCTGGAAGAAGAGGTATGTGTACTTTCCTTAGGTATCATATGAGCCTGAGGTGGGGAAGGGCTGGGAAATCAAGGGATCAAGGGCACTGGGGACTCCCCAGTTTGGTGAACTGGCAGCTACACAATCCCCCAATAGGAAGGTACCATCTGCTACTTCTTTTTTTTTTTTTTTTAAGATTTATTTATTTATTTGAGAGCGCAAGAGTGAGAACACAAGCGGAGGGAGGGGCAGAGGGAGAGAGAGAATTCCAAGCAGGCTCCCCACGGGGCACGCAGCCTGACTCGGGGATCCATCTCACTACCCGAGCCAAAATCATGAGTCGGACACTTGAGTGACTGAGCCCCGCCATCTGCTACTTCTAGTCATAGCTGCGCTGATGTGAGTGCACTTTGATTTCTTTTCTCTTCTCTGCAAGTTCCTTCCTTTGGCTCCCGAATAGAAAATCACCAAGGTCAAGGAGCAATTTCCATTTGCTCGTTCATGTAATAAGCTAGCCACCCCCCTCTAAGTTCTTACTGTGGACCTAGCCCTGCCTTAAGCCTGTGACAGATATATACTTTTTAATTCCTGCCGTTATAGGGCTTTAAAGCTTTTTTTTTAGAAGGGCTAAAAAAATGATTCCAGATATTTTTAAAGTACTCCAAGGATCTTAACATCAAAATGGTCCTTGTCTCCCCATACTCAGTGGGAAGTTGGTCCCCTTAGGTAAAAAACTAAAGTAGAATAAATGAATCTTGATGGCTATGCCCCTTATCCTAGGATTTATTTTGCAGATTGGTTTTCAGATAGAAGCAGTCTTTTTTTTTTTTTTAAAGACTTTATTTATTTATTTGACAGAGAGACACAGCGAGAGAGGGAACACAAGCAGGGGGAGTGGGAGAGGGAGAAGCAGGCTTCCCGCTGAGCAGGGAGCCCGATGCGGGGCTCGATCCCAGGACCCTGGGATCATGACCTGAGCCGACGGCAGACGCTTAACGACTGAGCGACCCAGGCGCCCCTCAAATAGAAGCAATCTTGAACAGGATGGGACCCAGGGACAATTTACAGTTTGTGGCAGGCCAGGAGCTGTGCCCTGGCTCTTCCTGGCTGGGTTGTGGAATGTAGGTACGTGGTGGGGTGAAATGGTCACTTTTTTGTGTGTGTGAGTATAGAGTATTTCTTTGACAAATACAGGGGCCCCCAAACTACTAAGTGTATGGTAAATATGTATCTGATTAGTCTTGATGTAGATGTTACTAGATTGCAACACTGAACTGTGTTCATGTGAAATAGAGGGAATATTGCTGCTGGCCTGTCATTAATTAATCTTGCATACCAGTTGTCATTGTATTGAAGTACTACTAACTCTTCAATGTTTTGTACTTCAGGGAATGGGTGTGTTCCGGCAAAAATTGATGCCAAAGTGTAACTTGGTGAAGAAAATTTCACATCTCACTAGCTATTCTAAAATTTGAATTGTTTTAAGAGAAGAAATAGCCTCCACTGTAACATTGGAAGCTTTATAAACGTGAGACCAAAAAAAAAAAAAAAAGTGTTTAGCGACCAAGCCCTCAGCATTGTGGCTCTTGTATGTATGAGCTGTCTTTCCTACCTTCATTCATTGCCTGCTTCTTCTCCCTCAGTAAGAATGGTTCTATTTCCTAGAGATCTCTTGACTTACAGATATCCTTTGCTTTTTGGGGTGGGGATTGAAATGCTTGTTGGACGGGCGCCTAGGTGGTTCAGTCAGCTAAGCGTCCGACTCCTGATTTTGGCTCAGGTCGTGATCCTCAGGGCTTGTGAGATCGAGCCCTGAGTGGGCTCCACGCTCAGCGGGGAGTCTGCTTGAGATTCTCTCCATCTCCCTCTCCCTCTGGCCCTCCTCCTGCTTGCTGTCTCTCAAATAAATAAATCTTTAAAAAAAATGCTTGTGGGTTCATACATTTCCAGTAGATAATGTCACCTAACCTATGATGTCCTTGACCTGATTTGCTTAATCATTAAACTTCAGGTTGCATAAAATCAAGCTAATGTCCTGCTTCGTCAGCTGTCTACATCAGAAATACTGCTAAGTTGCTTTATTGAACATGAGGAATACTTGTATATGTCTGGTATCCAGACCTAAGGAGCACACCCTTTAACCTTTTGCTACACCTCATCTATGCTTTTCCTTCCCCTTTTTGTGAGGAAATCACAGAGTAAATTACAGGGCAAGGATAATACTGTGTTCTTTTAGAGAAGGGAAAACTGGGAGACTGGCTGAGAAGTAGCTTGCTGGTGGTCACATGGCAAGTCTTGGGTAAAGCCAGGAATAAAACTGGAATCTCATGACTCTTCATTCCCTAGACCTTGCTGCCTGTCTCCCTGTCTGAATCATCCTTTGGTTCCATTCCCAAAGAGAAAATGTGGGCGCTTGTTCAAATTTAGTAACCTCTGCATCTTTTCATTTAAAAAAAAAATTGCTCCCGTTGGGCCCCTCCCTCTTTTTCAACAAGACCATGAGAAACTTGTCCAGAGTGATTTGAGATTGGAGTGTAGACACAACCCTACTGCTCCTCCAGGAAGGGTGCCCATCCGGTAGGAGATAAATGGGGACAAAGACTCTGCAACCCTCTTGGTTTGCTGTGTCCTAGGGCTCAGTGGTAACTGGTTGTTAATCATGAAAATAATATACAATATACATCTAAGGAGAGGATATTAATTTGTAGTTCCCCCTGGGCAGCCCTCACTGCAACAGTTGCCTGAAATATATTTCTGGCTTCTGAGGCTTTTCTGGGCATTCGTTCCGGAGAATTTTAGTCGTTTTCCAGGGCCCTGCCCCCGAAACACATAGATTTACAATTTAAAAAAGAAGTTCTGAAAATTGGGCGAGGATCCAGTCATGGCATCTAGTGTCCAGGTATCTTAAATGAGTTCATCAATTATTGTTAATTTTTTAGTCCTCCTCCCACTTGTACTTCTGCTCAGAGTCTAGTTGTTGGGAGATTTGAGTTGCTGTTGCTAAAGGCGGTGGGACATTTGATGGAGAGAGCGGGCTGGGAGCCTTCTCCCCAATGGCATCGAAAGACAGAGGTCATGTAATGTCTCCCAGACTCTCAAGCCCATGTAGGGGCTCGAAACCGTGTCTCAGGAAAAATCCACTAATTCTTCTTTTCTTTTCTGTCTTAGCAGCCTATCAGACCTGGGTTTGCTCCTGGGTGGTGTTTGCCTTATCTCCTTTATAATGTTCAAAGGAAAACATTCCTTTTCCTTAGTCCCCAATACAGGAACAGGTTATTGAAGTTTTCCTCGTCTGCTGCAACTCAACCCCCATTAAGCTCCTTCTGTCTGGGGTAAAATTTTTAAGTATGGAACATTATGGAAGGTAGCTCTGGAACTAAGGAGTCTTCAGTGTTCACAAAATTAGTGAACATCTCCAAATCGAGAAGGGTATTCATGAATAGAAAATGTAGTCCCCTGTCTGTTGGAGATAATGCGCATAAAATCATTTTTGAAGACAGAGGGATATGTCAGACATTTGCTATGTCTCGTTATAAACAGAGAATTTAGTTATGGCTTACAAATGGTACCATGAATTTTCCTTAGAAGGTCTTCCAAGGGAAACCTCTGTAGCCTACTTAGCAAATGAGAATTAGGGAAACTTTCCCAAATTAAGTCGTTGGTCTAGGGAGTATTTTCTTAGCCTACTAAGTGCAATGTCAGGTCAATACCTATATCGAGTTATTACATCGTTTGCCTGAAACTGATATAATGTTATATGTCAAATATATCTCAATTAAAAAGAAGATGGCCAGGGAAATATTATGACTAGTTTAATAGTCCGAGGACCCTTGCATGTATTTATGTCTTTCTCTGTACAAAGTCCTCATTTAGATGCTCTTCCTGAAATTCATTTCATTTTTCTAATCCCATTAAGGCCCTTGCCCATGATACTCTTCACTGTGCTCTAAGCTCTATACAGAAATGTGCCTCAGGCTTACAGAGAACTTTCTCCCGCAATCACAACTTCTTCCTTTTCCAAGCTCAGCAGAGATTCTCTGAGGGACCCTGCTCTGTTGACATCTGGGGAGGTATCTTGCTGGAAGGGGCTAGCACTTTATTACTAAAGGAGAGACCTGGTTTTTTGGTGATACACTGTAATCCGGGTCTTGCCACCAATCTGCAGCCTATGCAGCAAGTAGCAGCCAAGGTAAATTGTGCCTTTCCCTCCTTGCCCTTATCTTTCGGGACACGTAGGTCGTGTTGAAGTGGAAGCTCATTAAACTCCAAGTCAAAAGAACTCTGTGTCCCACAGCAACCGTGGCATTCTCCCATGCAAAGGACCTCCCCCAATCCCCCCCACCCACTACCGCTAATTTGACCTCACTGGAGAGTTTCAACAGATGCCTGGCATATCCACTCACAAGGCTCAAGGCAGCCCAGGCTTCTGGCTGGCTACTGTCTTATCATGATCCAGAGCTGAGCCACTGCTTGGGTAATTGTTTCAGGCATGGTGGGAAAAAGGCCCTGGCACGATCAAAGAGGGAAGATGCTGCGGGTGGGCTGCTCACTGAGCAGAGTGCACTGGACGAGAGAGAGCGGAATGTGGGAGGGCTGACAAAAAGAGCCAGTGAGCCTCGTTCTTTGGCTTTAGGCTAGAATGACAGCCACAGAGATTCAGGGAAAAGAGGCCCAAGTGTTAACCTTTTCTGAACTGCAGTGGCTGGCGATGATTTAGACATCACAGTGATAACTCTTGAAGGCAGTGAGTTTTCCAGTGTCCTTTTGCCACTCCACTCAGTTCTTCAAAACAAAATCCGTGTGCTTTCCTTCCATTTCCACCATTATTCTTTTACAGCTGATCGTTTTTCTTATTTCTAATTCCCTTGCCGCTTACTTGATTTGTCATTTTGCTTTTGGAGATGGACAGTTTTCTGCTGTCACACTTACCCACACAGTACCATAACTAGTCTCCTTTCCCAGTATTAGAGGAAGATGTGCTAGGCATAGACATTTATGTCTCATCCAAAATCATCTCCACACAATAGCATATT